GCACAGTGGACAGGCTGAAGGGACACACAGGGGCCAAACTGATTGGACACAGGGGCCAAACATATACACAATCCAGATCCCCTCATCACAATCCCATGTATGTAGGATTATCCTGGGCCTACATTTGTCCCACTAGATTACTATATAGTTGTCAATTCCATGCTCATTATTGCTGGTGTTTTACATTATAGTTTTTCAAGTGCAGATACCTGGTATCAGGCAACCTTTAATATGAAGTACCGAGAATGATAATCTATTTGATATACTTCAGTGGTCTAAGATCCCCGAGTCATCACGTTCTATACACAATGCTGATTGGCCAGGAACCTGGCTTCCTGGCCAATCAGCATGGACCCGGGTGTTTGGCCAGCTCGATGCTGATTGGCCGGGAAGCAGGCATCCCGACCAATCATCATGGAGGAGGCAACCTGGCCAACTAGGAAGCTGGGAGGCAGGTCATTACTCGCTGCCCAGCTTCATGATCGCACGGGAAGCTGGCTCCATCATCCCCTACGGCACTGTTGGTCAGAGGAAACCTTCCTCTGACTGGATTTTTGGTATTGGGGAAAGTATCGGAGCATTTGGGTGAGTATGAGTACTTGCCCAAATACTCGGTATCGGCACCAATACCGATACTAGTATCGGTGCATCCCTAACTACAATCATAGGTCAATTACTACATGCTAAGCAGCATTATAGGATAAAGTGGTAAGTAGACACAGGGAGCGTGCATTACACAGGGATCAGGATACCAATACAAGGAACATGCGTAGCACTGAAGTGCAGGATACATTGGAAGAGGTGAGTTATAAAATAGTGCAAGTAGACAGGGAAAATGCATACACGTGCGTTGCACGGTAATGCAGATAGACACAAAGATAATGAATAGCAAAGGAAGACAGGAACACAAGAGAACAACCTACATCACTGCAGTTCCAAATACACACCGCAGGCTGAGGTACCAAGAAAGCAGGGCAATAGAGGAAGCAGACACACTGCGGCTAGTGTGCGGGAACACTAAAGCAGTATAGCAGTGCCACCAATACAGCCAACTCAAAGCACACAGGTGAAAGCTAAGGGGGGACTCATGCAATAGTCACAGGGTCACACAGGAAACTCAGAATATACAGGAACACTGTCAGGATGCAACAACCAATAAAGAGTAGACATGTGCGATTTTGTTTCGTTACGAATCGAAATTCGTACGAATTTTCCTGAAATTCGTAAATTCGGAAGCATCCGAAATCCGAATTGCAGTTTCAGAATTATATCATAAATACGAAATTCCGTTAACGTATTTCGGATCTGAATTTCTTTGAAACAGGAACTAATATTACCCCTGTAAATGAGGTTAAACAACATGACAATATATTTTTTTTAATCCGAAATACGGATCCTCTGCTGCTGAGGGTTGCATTACAATACAGGCAGGAAATACGAAATTCCGTTGACGGAATTTCGTTCCGTTACGCACATTCATTATATTGAACTTAAAAAGCAAAGTACATTTATATTGGAGTTGATGGTAGTTTTTTTTAATACGAAATTCGGATCCGGAATCCGTTAACGGAATTCGTATTTCGGATAAAAAAACAACTACCACATCGACTCCAATATTAACAAAGGTATTTTTGCTTTTTAACTTCATCATAACGAATGTTCGTAAAGTTACGAAAATGTGCCGAAACTAACGAAAATTCGTATTTCGTACGAATCCGAATTGAGTTTCGGATACGAAATACGAAATAACGGATATTCCGAAACGGAACAAATTTTTTTACGGCGCACAAGTCTAATAAAGAGATGGGGTTTTAAAAGTGTCCTCTACCAAGTGCAAGGAGACCCAGTTCAAAGTTACACATACAAGTCACATATTGTATAAAAAAATAAATTCTCTTTAATTATTAAAATACATGATTAACAAAATCACATATTTCCACTGATTTCAATTAATGGCACAAAACCTCACTGGAACACATATACACATTCTGTATATATGACAATAACTTATTAGCATATATCTCCTTAAATATCTTTGTATAATTTCATAAATATTCATCCAAAAATGTTCAGTAGATCTATGTGTCCAGTTTTCTAAGCGTTTCGCCCAAGGCTTCATCAGGAAATTAGGAGGTAGCTATAATAATCATATGGATCTAGTAATAAATACATCAATGGTTGTACATTTCAAAAATTCATAATTGAAGATCTACATTACATATAAAAATACTATATAAATACTATTCGTGGAATCTCTGTCTTACTGAGTGCGCCTGTGCTGCCGGGGAGCCGTCCCCGACAACCCGGGAGGTAAGGGAGGTTGGGAACTAAACATGTGCACTGCCAAAAAATTCGTTTAGTTTAGTTTCGTTTTAAATTCGGATTTGTGTTATTTCGTTTTTCAGGATTCGGGTGTGAAAGTCAATTCGGATTCGGAATTCGGATTCGGACGAAATTCGGTAGCGTTAGTACGAACGTTCGTTTCGTTTTCTGTTCTTATTCGTTTCTTATTCATTTCGTTCATTTGCAGCGAAAGTGACATTTGAGGGGGAAAAAATATTTTTCTCCTTCTCTAATGTCACTTTGCTCCAACGAACGAAACGAATAAGAACAGAAAACGAAACGAACGTTCGTACGAACGCTACCGAATTTCGGAAATGGAAATTCGGATTCGTTTGCATTCGTTATGTCTGTAATTATGCGGGCCAAGGGATGAGGAGACAGCAAGCCTGTATATACAGTATATATTTAGCTTTTATTTGATCCTTTTTGTTTACGGATGCACCGATACCGATAATAACATGCTAATATACTAATACTATGCATACTAGCACATTATGGCTAAAGCTCCACGGTTTCTTTTTTATTTTCTAAAGTGCCTTTACTTCCACTTCAATGTGGCCTTTCTTTGTTTTGTCATATATACACTTTTCTTTGCTTCTTGAATCACCAATCACATTCAAACTAGATATTGATTGGTAGATTTGTGGATCTGAATCTGATTGGTGGACACCTTAGTCCTGGTATGTAATTTTTATATATTAGGTTTTCAGCTATCCCAGAGAGGAGCAATATTGGTGGAAGGGATACATTACTAGTGGGAAGAATAGTTGCTGGAAATAGCTAACAGTGTGTGAGTGGTGGCGTATTAGGAAGTCTTACGTGCCCGGTAATTTATGTACAGATGGTAGGTAGGAGATGCAAGGGTAGGGACAATGATGCTGCTGGGAGGTTATTGAGCTGGAGATAGATGTTGTTCCGTCCATCTGCTCTCATTGGATTGTCAACAGATTGTAATGGGTTTGTTGTTTTTCTTTGTTGACAGTTTGGCTGATTCAGGGTCTTTGGGGGTCTGTGGAAGACTTGGAATTTTTACAAAATATGGGCTTATCTGGTGCTGTGGTGCTTTCCTTTTGGGGGTGCTGTTGGTTCTAGGAGGGGCTCGTCCCTTTGTGGAAGGTGGTATAGAAACCTCAATTCAGAAATATCCCTGAGGCAGATTCATCAGTCATGTATATGAGAAACATACTCAGAGATAACTCACACTTCTTTTTTTCTTTCCCTAGACTCTATCACAATGACAACCACACAGAACTCCTATTTCTCAAGTGTAGGAGTAATGACCCTTTGGGGCTCCCTGGAGGTAGAAGACATTCAGACACTGGCAGCCCACAATGATTCACGACAGATTGAATTCAAGCAAAGCTGGTCAAAAGGGAACCTGAGTGACGCTGATTGGCAGTATTTTGAAAAGTTTTTAAAACGTTACATACATTATTTTGAAATACACGTGAGAGAAATCATTGAAGAAGTTGGGATTAAAGGTAAAAGATTAGATTGCAATAGAAATAGATTGTAATAATTTGATTATATTAAAGGAGGCATCCAACTACAAAAAAATATGGGGAGCACCAATGTTCCCCATCAGCAGAAGTCAAGTGATTAAAAGAGACACTGTAGAATAACAGTACCTCCTGGTACTGGATTTTTCCCTGAAAGAGCAGGTGACAGTTTCCTTTTAAATGGCCAGAGCTCAATACAGTAGTTGTTGTTATGATAGTTTAGAATGGCACTGATGTTACTTCAGGAGAGGACTGGGAACCCTTGGCCTGCTGGGCCATACATAACCAGCTAGCCCCTTCATAGTAGGGACAGATTTCTGCAAGCTAAAGAAAGAGTACCATGCAACAGTACTAAATTAATTGGTGGACATGGTGTAACGGGTTTCTCCCAACAGTTAAGGAGAGCCTGAAGGAAATAGTGTATTGTGACACACCTTTTACATCAGCTTTGCAGCGCTCAATAGCTGGTCAGATGACATCTCAGAGTCTCAAAGGAAGTTGTTGGTGAAAAATTGCTAAAGGACAAAATTGCTTGTGGCACACCTTGTGACATCCTCCAGCATCAGCCCACTTTGCGGTTCTGCTCTGATTAATATTTGAATGGGAAGTATCACCACTTAGTACTACCACCCCACAGAATACTGTATCTTATTACTACTGGCCTGAGGAGGAGGCAACGTCTCCTTGACCCTTAGCCCAGTTCTCCCCTGCCTTGCCTTTTATTGCTAAAATTGGAAATGCAAGGAGACCTTTAAAGGAGAACTACCATTGGTATGCTTTTAGGCAAACTGGATCTCACTGCTGAAACCTTGGACTTGGTTTTCTGATTTTTTGGTTTTCTGAAGAGAGGAGTTGCTGTTCTGACTCTATGGGGGTTATTTACTAACCTAAACACGCACCAGGTGCGTGTGCATTTTTACACAGCAAAACGTATTTATCAACCAAACACGAGTAACATGTCACATTTTCACGCCGTTATGGCGCGTTTTTATGTATTTACGTACGTGCGCGTCATGTAGCATGCGCCATAGGCTACACGCCGCTCTAATAGCGACATGCAAGTCTCTAAAAGCATATTTCCACTAATGCCATATATGGAAAAATCATGCACATGATGCATATATAATGCTGCTTCACAGTTTAGACAAAAATGGTTAGCTCATGCATTTACATTCCTGCATTCATCAACGCAAGCAACACGATGTGGAGCTAATTTACACAACATCACCTTGCAATTCATGCAGGGCTTTGCACAACACACCTGCTGGGTGTGTACACACTACAAAGGTGTCTAGATTCCACCAATAGATCATGCTGGGAGGGAACACACTACAGAGGTGTATACTTGTTCGTGGCGTGTTTATAAGGTTAGTAAATCAACCCCTATGTGTCTCTATGTGACTCGTGTGTGTGTAAATTTTAGCTTTAAGTATTTGAGGGTGGAAAATGAAAGTTTTTTACAACTAGAGCAAGATGAGAAACAGGAAAACATGAAAGGAGGACAAAGTTCCATCTTCTGGTTGGATAGAAGACCACGTATTATTGTTATAGGATATTATGTTTCCTAATTGTGTGCATTTCCATTATTATTATTATTATACAGGATTTATATAGCGCCAATAGTTTGCACAGCGCTTTACAATAGAAGGAAGACATTACAGTCACAATACAATTTAAGACAAGATGGTAAGGAGGGCCCTGCCCCGTGAGGGCTTACAATCTAACATTATGTTCACAAAATCAATATTCACTCCCTGTCATAGATTCACCGTAGATCTAAACCCAATCACTAAAATATCATAAGATTTAACAAATTAATGTAACAAGTTGTTTTCAGTGTTTTAAAACAGAAGCTTTCATTAAAATCCCTGATGATCCTTCCTCAAAGCACTTCCTGTTATAGTTTGACAACTGTTTACCAGCTGTGCTCCTCTGTTGCCAGCTTGTCACAGACACCTCTGGTGGAGACTACAAATAGCTATGCTAACACACATTGTGCAGATTTGGTTTACTGTTGTCAGGAATTTGGTTCTGAACAAACAATCTGCAATTAACGCTGGAGTGCATATAGAAGGGAAGTGGCTGGAACAGATCAGCAGCACTGAGATGCAGCAAAGGACATAAAAGTGAAAACAATATTTTATGGGAAAAAGGAAACTGTTGATGATACTTTAGCAAAGGGTGTAGCTCTGTTTTAGCTAGGAGCCTGTCCTCAACACATATAGCTACACCGATGTAGACAGAAGTCTGAAAATATTACCACTTAAAATAACTGAGAATTAATCCCCCTCAGGTGCCTTCTTAATGCAGTGCTGGATACGATGCTCCTCATCCATAGATGACATCGAAAGTTTCATTTATAGGCTGGCTCTGGATGGAGAAGATCTGGTATCCTTAAAGGCTACAGAGGGTGTGTGGGTCGCTGGCGATTCCCCTTACTCTAAGGATGTACAGAGGCACATGGAGAAGGAGAATGTCACCACGATGTCCATTAAAATCATGCTGGTGAGCTTTTGTCAATCGCTGGCACTGACATATTCAACTGCGGGGAAGGAAGCTTATTCAAAAAAGAGTGAGTACCAATAGTGAATGTTTATAGTGTAAAAAGAAAAACACAAATGTAATATACACAGTATAATATATTCAGATTTTTACAAAGCACATCAAACATATGAGATAAATCCTCTCATTTAATCCCTGTTAAGACAAATATCATGGAGAGACTTATGTAAAAACAATTCTCACACAATATTAGAGATTATGAGACGATGCAGCTTCATTATATATGATGGGAGATGTTAATGATATGCATAGCAAAATAATTTTGTGTGCCAATTGGATAGTTTTAAAGATGTAAATAAAGTTTATTTATTTTTTATACTGTATATGTGTCTCGATCTGCGGTCCGGGGCACTGGTTCGTGTGAGCTCTGGGTCTTGCAGAGTGGGTTATTGTAGCTGGCTGAGGTGATGTCTGGAATGCTGGTCACAGGAAGCTTGGGGACTAAGAGTCTTTGCGTTTTCGGGGATGCACTATAGGCGCAGGATCTAAGAAGGGCCAGGTTTTCCACAGAGCCTCTAACGGTGGGGATGATTGGCTGCTGGACACCTTTCAGGTTGCGGCCCTCTAGCGCATCCGCACAGACTCAGGGAACTGGTTGCAGCACATGGGCTCAAGACACAAAGACAGACAGGGCAAGGCCTGTACACAAACAGCAGTACAAGATACAGAGGGACACAGAAGCAGGAGCCCAAACAACAATGGGAAGGGAACACAAGGAGACAACAGAAAGGCAGCAGAACACGGCTATACGGAGATAAAAGAGGAGTGAGGCTGCAAGGACAAACAGCCACACAGGAGGAAGACAAACCCACAGGTAAGCAGAATCTCACAGGGAGCACAAGGGAATGACAGGAGACACAAGAAACAAAGCAGGTAAATAGTAATCCGCAGGGATCCAAAACATACCCTCTTAAATGATCTTATGATAGTTTCTTGTAAATGGCAGATTAGGGATTCCTGCTGCAGGAAAACGCATGTTCCTGACACAGGAATCCCTAATCGCATCTAAAATAATGGTGTGAATGGTGCCTAATATATACATACACTAATACACTTCCCAACGTTACCCACTCACCCCCCAGACAAATAAAAAATACACTTTCCCCCAAGCCCCCCGGCACACATAAAATATTACACTCCTCCCCGTCCCAAGCCCCCGGCACACTAATACATCCTTTCTTTTGGCCGGAGCTCAGAACTGTCAGAGCCGACAGAGATGCAGACCGTGGAGCTGCTTCCGCAAGTCGGGTACGAGGTCTGCGACTGTGTGCCTGACTTGTCAGCGGGCTGCAGGCCACATAGTACTGGGTTAGGGCCGGTACTTTGAGACCCCAATTTCCCCTCGCCTTCACTGCATTTCCACTCGCCAAATGCGAGCAGGCGAGTGGAAATTTTGAGCCCTGTCCTACTCTATAAGAAACCTAAAGCTTAGTCTACAAAGATTTCAAAAGAGGGCACTTGGCACACATTTCTGACCCCATGCCATATGCTCCTCTAACCACCAGGTATGAGAGAGCAAATTAAGCTTCCACATTTGTCAGGCATGGTATCACTTTCTGGATAACCTCCCCACATCCAGTGCCAAGTTGATTAAAAAATTAAATCAACGAGTATTTATAAAATATTTACTTACACCAATATGAAATAACCTTGCACAACTACATTTGCAAAGCAAAAAGGGAGCTACCTATCCAACTTTAGTATTTTTTGTTTTTTTAAACGGTCATGAGCAAATGTTTTATAAATATTTGTTGATCCTGACAGTTCCTGCTCTGTCTCTCTTTAACAGAATGACCTCCAGCTACCCGATTCTGCAGGACTGTGGTCTCCCTGTGCTTTCTTCCACTGTGATACAGTCACTGCCTCCTGCTGGTTGATTAACAGATGCCCCCTTTGCTGGGCAGCTTGGCCTATTTCAGTTAATTGAAAAATAGCAGATCTAATGGCAGAATCAACAGATAATAAAAATAGGGGACAGACAAACACTAATGTTAATGCTAGCCACAGACTGCATCATATATGTATTTTTTTTTCTATTTTGCATATAGTTACATTCTAATGAATTCTCTAAAGCAAAATTATTCAAAATTACATATATGCTATACATAAATCTTACAGATCAATTATGTGTATTGATTATCTTAGCTGTACATTTCCTTCCTGCTTTATATAACATTGAAACAGCTTTACAAGTGTTATTTTTAAATGACTTTCCTCCATATATCTCAGTCCAGCCACAGGTCCAGATTACCAGCAGCTCTAAATCTGAAACAGAAGTCATCTGTGTGGTGACCGGCTTCTATCCAAAGCCAATCAACGTAAGCTTGTGGAAGGAGAACAAAATGGAAGATGTGATGTCAACTGACACTCTCCCCAATGGAGATGGGACTTACCAGATAAAAGTGTTGGCAGATATCAATTCTGCAGAACAGCAAGGTGTCTACTGCCGGGTGGATCACAGCAGTTTGAAGGAGCCAATAATATTATATCTGGGTGAGTAATCCATAAATGTGAAATTTTGCTAGAAGAAAGTTACAGAAAATTGTAAGTAATAAAAGTAAAATTGACATGACAGAAATATGATTGTTTTCATGATTTCCCTTTTGTAAATGCTAACATTGTGGCTTCAGTACATCTGAGTCAGTGTCCTAGGACAAGAATACAAGTCATAAAGTCAGAATTGCTATTCTCTATTAAGCTAAAGAATCCACATAGCAGTCAGGCAACTAAAACTTTAATTTACTTTTGCTCCTAGTATCGGGCTAGGCATCGGAGCATTTGGGCGAGTATGAGTACTAAATACTCAGTACTAAAAGCCCAAATACTCGGCATCGTCAACGATACCGATACTAGTATTGGTATTGGTGTGCATCCCTAGTACTCTCCATCAAAATTTGTATGACAGGATCACAACATGAAAGTACAATGGGGAGACAGGGACAACCGTTGTCATCTTATAACAGGAAGTGTCTGAACATGAACCTTCATAGCAGGATCACCAGTTATTAGACAAAAAAATATTTCAGGTTTAAAAATAATCAAAGTGACTTTTGAAATGACACTAACATGATAAAGTTTATATGAGATTTTAGTGATTAGATTTATATATACTTTAAGTGAACTTCTTAGCTGTAGCAGTATTTTCAATTTACCCGGCATTACATTTTAACATTGACCTCATTTCATCTCCTCTGCAGATAAGACACATCACTCCATTATCGGACTGGTCATAGGAATAACAGTTGCTGTCATTGTGTGTGTGGTCGGGCTGGCTTGCCTTGTGAGGTTGTATAAAAAGCGCAGGTAAGACATCGTCACCCAGAGATATAAATGTATTGTGGTGGAAGCTTACAGAAAAACATCCTATGAAATCCAAAATCATTACCAAGCAAACACGAGAAGCCTGAACTTCACAAGATCTTCCCTTACTTTTTTTTTTTTTTGGGTAGTTAAATAAAATCAAGTATATTTTTATGTGCAAATTTCATTTTTGCCTTTGTCTAAGCTGTCTTATTTGCTTTGTATCATATAAATGGTTACTGAAGATAGAGATCAGAGAAACCAGAGAAGTGTTTAGAGGAAAAATAATTGGGAAAGCATTGGCAGACAATAGGATCCCAAAAGAACCATCAAGTTTCTAGAAATAGGGGAAAAGTGTAATGGAGCAAAAAAAGGTGAAGGATCTCAGAGATCCTGACCTTAGGTCCATTGCCTAGCAAGTCACTGGTTAGACAGAGAATCCAGAAGGACCAGTTTTACTAGCTAGTAGCAGTTAGCTACATTCAACTGAACTTGTTCTGTGATGTTGAAGACATTTTACTACTCATACTAGTAGCTTCATTCAATGAGTGACGGGAACGTTACCCATCATTTCTAGTTACACAGCCATGCAAGTAGTTCAGTCACTTTAATCCAATCGTCATAATGTTATGAAATGTGTAAAGGCAGATGTTGCTTGTCCAAGAACATGACAGGAAGTGTAAAAGTATGTGATACCTTCCATGATATCATTAGGTCTCGGACAGGTGTTTATTGTTCAAGTAACTCCAGTGTGATGAGGAATGCAAAGGCCTGTACATTAGGAAAACAAAAAAGACTGTTTAACAAGCATGTGATTCAACATTGGAAGGGAAATACTGCCGGTCAGGTCATGACTCACCATTCTCCCTATACTTTCAAGTAAAACTATGGCCTCCTAATAAAAATAGGGGTGCTGCTGCACTTAATTATAAGTGTATCTGCACTAACAGTTTTCTCTTTCCCCTGAAAAGTCCTACAAACATATGTTGAGCCTGCCAGTAAAGAAAACCTAATGCGGCTTTCTTTGATGGTATAGCAACAATATAGCAACAATGCTGCACTGCTCCTGAATATATATGAATAACTCTCATGTAGGTTGTGCCTACTTGCTCTATGATAGGAAGTAATGTTGCAATAGACATGGCTAGTAACATTGTCACTGCTGAATAACAAGCCTGTAGATGCAGGGCCAGTGCTAGGATTCTTGCCTACACAGGCAAGGTGCATTTTTGCGCCCCCCCCCCCGCGTGCGTCAGGATCCTCTGGCAGTCTCAGCGCTGGTCCGGTGGGAGGAGCTCCAGGTGGGGTCCTAATTTAGCTGGCCAGCAACTGCCAGAGGTGCGGCGCGTGTCGGGATCCTCTGGCAGTCGCCGGCCAGCTAAATTAGGACCCCCACCTGGAGCTCCTCCCACCGGACCAGCGCTGACTCGCCGCTGCTCTCCCGCACGGAAGGTAAGTGGAAAAAAAAACATAGTGCAAACATCGGGGCATTTTGACAAGTATAAGTACTTGTCAAAAAGCCCTGTTTTTCCCGCCCTCACCCTGCAGCACCCTCAGGCGGCCGCTTGCCTTGCGGTAGCGCCGGGCCTGTGTAGATGTAAATCAGCACCTGGCCATACCTAATCCTGCACTATGCCAAACTGACCAGCTGCTTCTTTTGATGAATAGCTCCCACTATACAATGCAGTGTCTGGGAGGAGAGCGTGCGAGACACAAATGAAGAAGTTGTTTTTTGTTTTTTTCTACTTTGAGGCTTGGGAACCACAAGAGCTTTTAGCTGTACGTAAAGAGGAAGAGACATTCTTTTAAAGACAGTGGGGTTTTCAAGAAGTGTGAAAGAGGCCATTTAAATGACCCTATAATAACCATACTTAAAGGTCCTTCAAAACCCCTTATCACCCACATATACCATTTCTACCCAAGACATTTGACAACAATTGAGACCTTCAGTCATATAACTCACATAATTAACACATGACCCATAATGCATGGCACCACAGTGATTTCGATTATAAAAACAGAACCTGCTATCATGTTATTGGCAGAGCAGATTTGAAGACATTTAGTCATTATTACTCCTATACAATTCTACCACGTGGTATTACAGAATAGAGAATACCAATATTTGCTATTTAGGGTAGCTTGAGTATCACTGTGATTTTATTTGTTCTTTAAAGATTCATTTAACTGATAAATGACGGGTAGTAACTCAGGTTGTTTTTTTTTATATACAGTACTTATCTATATGCTCCACGCTCCTACTACTATCTACAAATAATTTAGCTGCTGTTCTTTTTTTTTTTTTTGCATTAAACAGAAGATACACATCCATCAGTGGGGTGACTATGAACACCTTGAGAAGAGATGAGAATAATGGCTGAACTTTGGCAGACAACAGACCAGAACCTTACACAATTTCACAGCAATAAATTATGTTGTAAAGGCAACTTATGAGCATTAAAGGAGAACTATGGGGTCAGTGTTTTTCCCCATAGTTCTCCTTAGGGTAACGGGAGGACACAAACTAGCGTCCTCCCGTTACCCTAAGCTCAGTATACCGCGAGCTACAGCTCGCGGTATACTGAGACGCCGCACCTGGAGCGGATCCCGACTTAGATGACGGGATGCGCCCAGCTGCGTGAGTGACAGCTGGCTCTGCCTATCTAGAGGCAGAGCCAGCTGTACCCGCCCCCTCAGCGCTGGCAGATCGGAGCGGGGAGAGGGGAATCCAGCCCTCCCCCTGTCACGGCAGAGAGCCGTGACAGGATCGAGAGGTGAGGGAACCCGGTATGTGTTCCCTCACCTCCCGATCTACTGAGCCGACCTGTGACAGTCTCATTGTCACAGGTCGCCTTAGAACTATGAGGTGAGTGGAAATCACTCATCTCATAGTTCTCCTTTTTAATGTTGCACTGATTTTTGTTAATCAACAGTATTTTGTTTCTATATGCTATGTTTTTTATGACCATTTTCTAATAAATTGTAATGACTTGAATCAAAAATGTTTATTGGTCCCATTGACTACCAGCCCATCAAGAAATATCACCAATCTACATCCAAAAGATACAATGTCATTAAAAAAAACATCGACCCGTTTCAGTTTTTCTTTTACAGCATCTGTTATTAAGA